ATTTCAATCACCAACTCAATCCCCAAGTATTACTAAGAAAAATAAACTCGAATTTTATCACACCCACTTTTCTACCTAATGTATGAAAAGTCTCAAGACGCTAGACTCACAATATTTTTATCTCAGATCAACTCTCTGGCCACCCCAAAATAATAAAAGACATCTACTATTTATAGGATTAATAACCAAGTAGAAGAGTTTAATTTAAACTCAAACAAGACTCCTTTAACTCAACAAGGATTTCTTCATGTGCCAGATTCCAAAATCAACGGTATATTGGAGACCAAAATTTTGCAAGGATTTTACTCTGAATTTTAAATAGAAGTCTTCTATATAATAACTACCTTTTATTATTTGCAATATAAGTCCTCCAACTTTTGACTTTTATTATTTGCAATAGTGAAAGCTTTTGGTCCGTTTAATTTATGCATTATATTCTTTATTTTTCTTGTTTGCTAATATTTTTTAGAACAACAAAAGATTCTACAAGTAAATAAAAATAAAGGGAATGGCATAAAATTCCCAACACCTACAGGGCTGAACATGGCCAATGTTGCCCTATTTATCTAGCACAACTCTATTTCAATTGTATAAATTAGATTACATAATTTGTCCTAACTAAGAATTAACTCCAAATCATCTTTGCAAAACACAATTAATAAATTGAATATATCATTGAATTTTAATTGAAAAAGAGAGAAAAATTTAAAATCAATCATGTACAGACTTGGAAATCTTCTTATTCCTTACAATCTTCAAAACCTAGCCTCAGTTTTATGTTTTTTTCTCCCAAAATACTCTCCAACAAAAAGTCCAAGAATTTACTTATTTATAGATTTAGTATATTTTTTTTCCCTTTTCTGCAAAAATGATCAAAACGACCCTAAAAAGTCCGAAAACTCAAAATCAGGTTTCTAGTTCGCAACCCTTGCGACAACAAAATTTTAAGTGGTACGGCCATTTAGCTGCGCCGTGGAAATTTTTTCTCAAGCAGTCGTGCCGCGACAAGGTTGAAATCCCGCGGCCACACACATGTCCTGCAACGTCCCTTATAATTTTTTATGAATAATGCTATTAATACATCATTATATATAGACTCTTATATAAATTGATGAGGTGGCAAAAAGAAAATTGAAAAGTTTTATTTTTTTAGTTGGTTTATAAAATTTTGACTCCATCATATGTTGATAAACAATCTATAATTTGTAATGTACATGTAACACAACTATTTTTTGTGTTTTTGTTTTTTTTTTTTCCTTCTTCTTATTCCTTTCATCCTCTTGCATCAGGCTTCATCCCTCCACGTTTTATTAGCCTCGATTTAAGCATAATCCTCCATTCAAGCTAATGAGCACATGAAAGAAGTAAAACGAAGCATAAATTAATGGCTACACGATCTTCGAAGCCAAGAATTATGAATTTTTCAGGCACAATTTGTTTACAGTTATCATCTTACCTATATCTATAGTTTTTAAAGTTGAAATAATTCTTGTTATTAAGTGTCATACGTGTTGCTTAATAAACAATTGTGACCCTTTTATACGTAGCTGTGTCATTTAGTCCCTCTTTGATAGGAATATGATATATATCATGAGCGATACATAAATAGATCGAGTAATCTACTCATTTATCCAAGAGATCCCCAAAGTTATTAATAGAAAACAGTATGTTTGAAATTCAAGATATACAGATTAATCTAGAAAAAAGTTAATTATGTGAACCAAAAACTTAACTTTGCTATCTCAAGAATTGCAAAACCTTATGGAAACATTCCACCTTTTCTTCCATTTTTGGGGTTTCTCTCCATTTCTTAGTAAGAATGCGTGATGGTATTTTTTCGAAATGGTAGATACGTGTTAGAAATAATAGAATGCTAAACATCTAAATCATAGAATATCACAATTTTGACATTAAAAGAATTAAGAAAGGTCTATTACCACTGTAATTTTTTGGATTTACCAAGTTTACGTTTTATATTACAAATTATTCAACTTTACGTAAGGAATAAACTAACTAAAGTAACAAATCACTTTAATTTGATGTCTAGGTGTTAAACAAACAATTCAATTATCCTATATTTGAACGCCGTAGTTATAATATTGTAGAAATTAATAAATAACACAAGATATAATGACGGAGAAATCTCAAGTGGGTAAAACTTCGTGGTCTGTACTGAATGTCTCTCCAAAGTGGACTACCAAGAACCGTCTGTTCTTGTATTTGTAACTGCACTTTAATCCACCTCTCTCAATCCCCCAACGAGAGATTTCATTCCTCAAAAGATTAAGGAAGACATATGTTTTGAATTATCGGACTTTTGATGTTTTCCACAATTTGTGGTTGTTGGATCTTAAGAATAAATAAAACAAATCAATGCTTGGACATACTCTTGAATTTTCAAAAAGATGATAAGAATATATTTTCTAAGAGAGGCACAATGAAAACCACCAAAAATTCGTGCTAGGGCTTGAGTATTTATATTTGAAGGTGTTTTGGACGTATAGGCTAAGTAAAACACTTAAAACGCGAACTAGGTGTTTCGAGCAAGGATCTGGTGAGAATTGAGCGAGAGCCATTCTTTTTTTTTTTTTGCCGCTCGAGCAAAAAGCCAGCAATAATCAAGTGACCACTGAGCATTCATCAGTGTTTTTACCATAACTTTCTCTTCCGATGTCCAATTGAAGTGATTCAACTTGCGTTGAAAAGCTAACTCAAATAACTACAATTTTTCTAAATAGCCTTGTCCAAATTCCAATGTCTTCTATGTGAGAAATGCATTGAAATTTACGACTAAGAATTTGGAACATAACTTGTACGGATTTTTGATATCCTTTAGAATTCTAATTGCATTCCGATGGTCATATGTGATCTTCTTGGACATCTTGGATTCCTCCAATGCTCGAACACTAATTTACCTTATCTATTCAAAATTGCAACTATGTCCTTGACTTTTACAAGTGATCAATTTAGTCCATTTTGTTTACAGAATTGTCAATTACAATATTGGACTAACAAACATGAGGTACTTATTAGATTTTTTGAATGAGATTTGAGAAGAATTGCACTTTAGAGAATACAGTACAATAAAAGTTGTAAGCTGCGTGCGGGGGAGTTATTGTCTACCATTGACCTCTATGGTAGAATTTGCCAGAGATGTGAAAGATGATGATTTACTAAGTCAATAATTAATTTTAATCACATATTTTATGGGATTCACAACTTTTCAACTATACATTTCATCAAATTTTATATAAATCGAATGAAAATCTGATTTTAATTCTCACCAAACATAGCTTAATGTCATAATTTTAATACATATGCACGGATGTGTATGATCTCTTAATTTATTTTTCATCAACTCGAGTTGAGCTTTTCGTATCACATTTTCTAAACTTGCATGTAACCTGTATTACACCAGGTTATTGTTGACTAGTTTGTACATTCCTCACCTTTGTAACAATATTTGTGATCTCTAGTAAAAAATACATGTGACTTTTGATAAATACCATGTTATCATATGTGATCATTTTGTACATGCATCTGACATCTGTTAAGGTATTTGTGATCTAATCCAATACCGTCTCATGCAAATTGATGGTTGTGATCGAGATTCAGTTGAGAAAAATATAAAATCAATGGAAGAAGGATTCTACTCGTGTTACACATTATTGAGGTTTGAATGGAGATGAAATATCAGCCTCGTTTAATTTTAGGGAAAAAAAAATATGTATATCACATTATCCTTTTATAACCACAAATTTCAATCACAGATTATTATCTATTTTAGTTTGTTTTTGGAAAATATAGTTAACTATGACCCGATTTATTCAAAGTTTTTAAAAATTTATTATTATGAAATCATACGATTTTCTCTTTTTTCACATAATGTCGAGTCAATATCGGGATCAATATTTAAAACGGCAATCCATGTGAAGCACATACACTGCCGACTCAATAAGTCAGCCATGCATGATGTGAGAGTGCAGTACTGTTTGAAATTAAGAAAGACAGACCACTTGCCAGTGGTGGCTGACACAAAAAGTTGCACCATTCAGTTATCACTTTCTAGTTTCTATTTTTCCTCCACAACAATTATCAATTGGTGCAATTTGATTTTATTTGTACGTGAAGATCTAACATGACCCATATATGGTCCTTCTCCTGCACGTATGCTTGCATAGTGCATGGACCACTAGCACAATAGGACCAGTACTATGAACTTTTCACATACATTGTATTTTTTCCTCCTAAAATTGAGAGCCCATTAGAAAAAATTATCAAGTCTTAGTCTTTGGATTTACCATGACAAGTATTAGGACCCTACGTGGCTGATTCTTGATCTTCAGACGTGTGAGATGCCTTTTTGTCGATGAGAATCACTTTAAGATGATATATACTTGACACTGTGTATGTCTGTATGCAGTTCTTTGTCTACTAGCTAGGGACTTAAACATAAAGTTGTTGATGGTACAACGAAAGATCGTAGCCTTATAATTGGCAAGGCAACTAAAGACGGAATTAATTATTGTTGACAAGAGAGTTCACGAAGATAGGAATCTGAGACTACGTGGCACGCTTAGGGCCAGTTCTCCTAGCTTTATGCAACATGAGACTACGTGGCACACTTAGGTTCGGATCTTTTAGCTTTATTGGTATTGACTAAAGAAGGGATGCCTTTGATTACATATATGGAGATATATATTGAGATATCATCGGCACATTGGATTCACGAAAATTCCTAGTATGACAAAGATTATTATTACGAGAGCCACCATGGGTTTTTGAAGTATCTTAGATGACACATGTCAACAAGGAGCATGAGAAAATCACGATGCACACTGAGACACTTATTTTGTTCAAAGTTTTTTGGATGCTATTAGCCGAGTTCTAACAAATGGGGAAGCATCCAAATTGAAGAATCTTTACATCAAGAAACGAACAAAAGACTTCAATCCTCAACACGACTACGCATAAATGCGTCGAGTACACAATTCATGGTCTATATCCAAGATAATTATACTAAAAAATTGCAAGCACTGCTAAAGTTAAACGATTAACTTCAACATATATACATGAGTACGTAGTTTATAGAATGTTTTATCATTATAGCAACAAGATATGTTCACAAATTGACCTCATTTAATGCAACATCCGTGATAAAAATAAATTCGAGCAAGTATCCAATCAATTTGGGTCATAGTTAACACGGAGAATGCTCCTCCAAGTTCGTAAGACGAACACTTGTTCGTGCCTAGCCCCTAACCTAAGAAAACTACTCCATCCAACTGGTATAACTCTTCAGCTACATCCTTATTGAAGCCAAACTTGCTTAACCAAGAAAAATTAATTTGACATTTGTATTGGAGAGTCATCGGCCATCCACAATCTGTGGACTCAAAAAAATAGTCGATTGGTACTTCTTTGGATTGCAGACGAGATCATTCAGAAACGATTCCAGAAACACAGATTTCAGGTCTAGCAGTTGTGGCTTGAAATGACCAAAGAAAGAGAAGCATCTGATGGCTTACTTCATGGGAGCTTTATTGGAAGCAACGCGGGAATGTTTCCGTCCACTGAACATAACTAAACAGAACTAAAGAAAAGATATACGTTAAAAGCGTAAAGTATTATTCAATTTAACTCCTAACTGAGCCAAAATTTAAAGGTTAAAAAGGGTTTAACAAACATATTTATTTCATTGGTTGAATGCAATTCGATAAGTTAATACTATGGGGTTTATATGTTGCCCCATAGTCATTTAAAACATGAACAATTCATTTCAGAATGCAATAGAAGTGCTTAGGCATACAGGTGTGTCTGAGTTATCAATGTAATAAAAAAGACAACCAAAATGAGGACAATGTTGGGAAACTTATTTTGCATGTTTGGTACGCCATCCTCGACTGAATTAGACATTATAAATTTCTCTTTTTATACTATGTAATCCCTATACCAAACATTCAAATAGGGTAGTACTATTGAAAGATGAGAAATTTGTGCACTGAACATTACTCTGTGGAAAAGTAAATGTCAAGGGGACAAGTTACAAGATGTTTCTATGCAGTGAATATAATGTTGGTGCTACGTTAGACATAGACAAGATCTTTAATTTTTTTTTTCCGCTCTTAATATTGAGTGTGTTTTCTCTAATGGTTTATACTATTAGACGAGACACTATTAGAACATATAGAAGTTAAGTATCATCGTCGCCCATTTACGAAAATATATTGTTAGATCTTCTATGAAGTAATAAACATGGTTTTACAAGAGGGGTGTGTTTCATTTCTCTAACTATTTAAACCTTTCGCTCAAGATGGTAAAAACTTAACCCTAACTAATCTTGTTCAGACCGACATACCAAATGCACCCTCGTATTTCTACATTGATTTGAACTCAAAGTACAAAAGGCCATTTTCAATTTTCAAAGAACTACTTTGAATAGACAAAATCACTTACAAGAATGTCCATCCCAAATTAAAAGGACAAGGAAACATAGAATCAAACTCTTTTTTCAATTATAATCATATCCTATGAACAATTATAGAACTTGTAATAAATTAATCAGCTTATTTTCTCACCTCTTCTTCTCCACTTCTGACACTGCAAATTCCTTTGCCTCCAGCCAAAATGTGCTTGAAATTTGTACTGAAGAAACAGATATTAGATTAGCAAAATCTTGTGATGAGTTACCAATATTGATTACTAAAATTACCCCTAATGTAATTTTATCTCAAAAATTTTGTACTGCCGATACATAACACATAATTTTTATTATGTATTATTCCACCATACTTTTTCAGTTTCTGCCAACAGAAGAATAATCGCAGATCTATGCAGTTTATCAGCAGAGTGAAGTCCTTCAGTAGTCATCTGTCGGTCTAGAAATAGCTGGCAGAATACAAAACAAACCCACAGAAATAAAATATTTTAAGTATTTCCACAAAATACCAAAATCCCACCAAAAAGAATTATTTCAAACACCTGGAAAACTGTGATTTTGTTGATATCACTTCCAATAGAACTCCCTCTTAAAATCGGCATCTTGTGAGACAATGTGTTGAATATGATTACAAATCCAAGAGGCAGACTTTTCATGAGCGATATGCGACTGGCCATTTCCCTAACTTGGATAGTAATTTATTGCCGATGCAGCATCATCAAGATTCTCATCACCAGGGTTTTGGCCCCGGAAAAAAACCAAACATCCAGAGAAAGAAAGGTAGATAGATAGAGAGAGAACTGATATAAAAAGCTAACCGCCTTGCCTTTGCATGTGAATCTTGATGGTGCTGCACCAGCAAAAAACGACTGTATATACACAGATCCAATGAATAAATCACAAAGATCTGCAGGGTTAAATCCTCTAATAAATTTCCTTCTGAAAGAATGGCATAGACGGAAAAAAATAAAAAAATAAAATTGAGGGTATCTGTGTGTGTTTGGAGTTGAATTCAAGACTGAAATTTATGTGTTTATTGGAATAAAAAAATCAACAAATCCACTAGCATCGGATTGATGTGGCCTTTTATCAATGGCTAAAATGTAAATCAAGGAATCAAACAAGAATCTCCTGTATCGAAACTCATATTCATACAAAAGAAAGAGAGCATTTCAATACAGACAAGAAAAAATAAAAAAATCCACTTGAATTTTCTTGATTTTATGTATAAAAAAATCAAGATTCCAGCATCTGATCTTATCTGTTGTTGTGGGATCGGCTAAATGAATCCACTTCCAAAAAGATAAAAAATAAATCAAGTAAAAAAATATATATAAAAAGAAGGGATTCATATTCTTACAGTGACCAGCAAAATCATCATATCTGAGCACAACAAAATATACCTTTAAAATATACACAAACAAAAATTAATATAAGGGAATATAAATTCAACATAAACTAGTGAAATGAACAAGAACTCTCAGCCGCCGGAGATCTAACTTTCCGGCCAGTGAATTATGTTCTCTGTGTGTTTGTGTGAGAGAGATGAAGGAAGAAAAGGTTAAGGTAACTCACACTGCGCATACACTGACAAAAACACATATACACACATCTTTTTGTGGTGTTCCAAGATTGTTGAGGTATTTATTATATTTTAATGAATTTTCACTTAATTTAATATATATAAATAATAGATATAGATACATAGTACTGCCAGCAGTTAAAATGTTTCAATTTATCCAAAACCCTAATTTTATTGTTGCAGTGCTATAGTGGGTGCGCTCTCGTGGGCTTATAATGAGTCCTCGGGTATGATTGGTGTGTGGCCCTTTGTCATCTCACTAAAACAAAGTAACATCATCAACAATCAAAATCAATATTAATTGCTTATCAAAATAATCAAAACCCTAATCCTTTTCACAACCAACTATTTTGTTATAAAAAACATCATGATAAAATTTTGATTATTTTATTTATAATTTAATGATGACGCTAAATAAAGATGGATAAATTCCTCACAAGATAAAGTCGAGATTTAGTGTCCAAAACTTGACTCTCTGTCTACTTAATTGTCCCATCACTACATCTTTGACAGCTTAGCACATCACTCATTTTTCATAAATGAGAAAATGACAACACATTTTTCGATACCTTGGCATCTTTTCATTATCTAAGAAGATGTAATGCTTTAATGTGTCAAAATGTATTAAGAGAGAGCATAGGACAACACATCTCAACTCATAATATTGCATCGAAATATTTTTGCCGTCGAAAGTACACAAATCGAATTACTCTGTCAAATTTTTTCATTGAAATTACTCGTTTCAATGAAAATTCTACAACGAGCCCACGACGAAGTTAATTTTATTGCGAATATAATCAACTGTGGAGAAACAAAGTTTCTACGACGATTTTCCATCATTAAATTTTAAGTAAAGAGTTCGACAAACAAGTATACTTCACTTTTTCTGGATTCGATATTATTATTTATATTTGGAGTACTCAAGTACAATTATCAGCAAAATCTTGTTGTGTCCATGGATAAAATATTTAAATGGAAAAATATAGATAAAAAGAAAAAAAAGAACTATACAAAATACAAAGGGCCTAGAATTTTTAATTAAATAATTGTTTTCAATATTTTTTTCCACTCTTAATTAATAAATGTAGTACAAAAATACTTAATAATTATGTCAGTAGGCCACACGAGTTAAGAATGAAGCTTTCTGGGTTTATGACTAACTGCTGGAGAGGGACTTTTATTTATGATCACCCTCAAGGTTGGTCTCCCTTAATATTTATATACTAAACAATTTCTATATAAATCAAAAAAAAAAAAAAAAATTAAAAATACTGTGTAGCGATCTAATGTTGAACTTAGTATACGTGATTAAGGGGTTATTTAGGGGGATTAATTCGTCTTCGGAAGCAGATAATGTTGTATCCTTGAAACTTGAGGGTAGGCAGCTTCCTGCACGCACTACACCAAAAAAGCCTTTTACAACGGTCAAAAAACGCTGTCAATCACCTTTTGCAGCGTTCGCGTATGTTAAAGACTACATTTTTTGACACATTTCTATATTGTTCCTAAATTTCTATGTTGAGGACTCTAATGTTCGAGTTGAATCATTTCGGATAGTGATGGTTCTTGTTGAGCTAAGTATCATGCTTTATATTTGCAGTTGGACTAAGCTAAGTACCTTGGTATTTTGAATTTTATCAAACACCAATTGAGGCATTTTGGATCCATGGCCTGACTCGAAAATGAGTGGGCTAGATCATTTTCACTCTTCTAGCAAAATGAGACACGCTCTTTATTTCGATTTTATCAATTAACTTGCCCTTTACCAGAAATTTGCTTTTCAAATAGGAGCCTTTGACAGATTTTCAGAAGTTGAGGTGTCACAAGCCCTGTTTGTGTAGCAAACTTTCCTATATCATGACATGTTCTTTTTCATCATGTTTATTTCTTTACTTCTAAATCGATTTCATCATGTCTGTCGAACAGGGCTGTCCCCATAGCATTGCCCGTGTAGAAAAGACATTCCTAACCAAATAAATAAATGTTTAAAAAGGACAATTATTATTTTCTGTTAAATAAAAAAATAATAAATGGAGAACCATTGGAAATAGGTGGGTGGAGGGTACTTATGAGGTGGTGCCGGTGCATGATGAAAGATTGGAATGCCAAACCAGATAAATACCCATGGGAGATTTAAGCCAAACCTTAACATCTGATCAGATCAGATTCTAATTTTCTTAAAAAAAACAAAAAAAGAAAAGCCTCCAGCCCTCAAATTGAAAAGGGCCCACGTCCGTACAGTCTGATGTGGCCTTAACGATTCTCGCACAATTTTGTGGGGTAGGTTGTAGGGCTCACAGCCCTTCACTTTTCTTTTATATATAAAATAATATTATTGTGGTAACTATTTATGGTTTGAAATTGAAATGAGAAGTAATTCAAGAAGAAATATTGAGAATCAAATATCACTAAATCATGCAAGTGTCAAGGTTGTGTTAATAGTTAATCATTGGACACGATCGATCAAGTCAATTATATAAAGCATTATATCTTATATGAGATACGAAAAGATCGATTAATAAATCTTGTTTTTATAATACGTTGAGGAGACTCACCACATGCAAAATCACTCACATTAACGGATTGCGCCTTGTGACAAATCTTAAACATGTCAATTTGATCTTTGTCTTTCCTTGACAATGACTAGGCCTTCTGTTTAGTTGGATATGTACCTCAATCTTTAGCTTATTTTGTCAATCATCCAAATAACATGGTTGTTGGGCAAGTCGATTATAGCTCGACACCTAAAATTAGTAGTGCGTAGATTGTTTGTTATATGTGGATAGATAATACAGAGTTGTTGAAGTTTCTACCGACTTTTCCTCTTTTAGATCAATTCCACTACATTGCGTGAGAAGTTTTTTTTGCTCAAATCCATTAGAAGCTCCTCCTTTCGCTTGGACACTTATACCATCAAAATATTGGGTTCTCATTATATGATGAATGTGCTATTCTAATGGGAGTTTTAGATGTTTCAATCGTCGAGGTTAGTTGTATAATTGTTATGAAGATTAAAGCGTAAATTACCTTAATGCTCGTACAATAAGTTGGTAACCCTAGATAGTAGATGGCTATAAAGTCCAAACTTTTGTAAACCGATCAAAGCAGAGCTTTCTTCACCTAATTGTTTGGTCCACAAAACAGGCAAATCAATCATTTATTGCATTGTCAAGGTGGTGGTGCACCGTGCACGGCGGGGTATGACGTGGAAAGAAGTGGCTCGGGGAGAGATGTTTAGTGGGGTGAACTTCACATGGCATGCACGAGTTCCTGTTGGACACTATAGAGAATAACAACAGGCCAATATATTGGTGCCACGCGAAGTGAAGAGTGACGTGGACAGTGGACATAATGTTTAATTTAAAAAAAATCAAGCAACATGTCACGTAACGAGCACGTGAGAATGATAATAGAGTTGAGAGATTATCTGTGTATGTTTATCAAATCATATTTTTTTAGGTGGTGGAGTTTAATTATAATTGTTGCACGGGGTGAGTACGCGGATATATCAAAATTTCATTAAGGGCAGTTTAAAATTTCACTTGTAGCTTTGACTTTGCCCCAATTCGACTTATGAATAAAGAATTGTTATTAGGGTTTGGATTACCATCAGAGAGAGATTAAAAAAAAGATAAGGTGTGCAACTTTTGAGTGAAGTTTTCATCATAGTTAATTATTACAACAACGGAAGATGGCATAATCTCACATTAAAAAGAAATTTTTATAAATTTCGCATGATCTTGTATGTTTACTTTGATTCTATTATTTTAATGCTCTAAATGATTTTGAATTAGGATTTCTAATTCTCGACAATATCTATTGCGTAGGCTCATCTCAACTATCTAAAGGCGGTTGAGCGACTCACATGGGCGGATTTAATAGTGGGCTGTACTTGATTGCAGCCCACCGTTGCCCAAATCCAAATGCACTATTTTTTTTTAATTGTAATCTATTAGCCCATAAACAATTAATTTCATGTGAAAATTACACAAAACCATAGATTAACTATTCAATATTCTAAAATCAGATTGAAAGTTTCATATTTCAAAAATCAGAAATTTTATTTTAGTCAATTTTGTTATAAAATAATTTTTTTTTAACTAAAATACTCCAATATATACACATTACCAACCCTAATTATATCTATCAACATTTCTTCATTGTCTCTCTTTTAAAAGCCAAGCCACCACATGTTCTTCACTCTCTCTCTACCCCTCCCCCACCCCACCTTCCCTCATATCGTAATCAGTTTCTTCTCTGTCTCTCTTCCCTCCATTATCAACCCAACTGTGGCGACGAGAAAGAAAGATGGGTACAGAAATTGAACAAATTAAGGATGGATTAAAGAAAGGGGCAGGAATTAGCTTTTCCGATGACTTCATTCCACCGATGGTGTATTTTGGTGGTGGTGGCCGCGCATTTGTATTATGTTTTGGGCTGTGTTGATTGGGGTTGTGGCGGGGGTGATGGTTCAGGCAGTTGTGGGTGGTGGTCACAAGTGGTTTTGAGGCGGTTTTTGTGATAGTTTATTGAGGTGGTTTATTAGTGGTGGGTGGTGGTGCTATCGTTGGTGGTTCCACCCTCGACGGTGTTGCAATTTTTGATTTATTTTTCAGTGGTGGTGGCCAGGTGAGGTTTGCGTAAGTAGAGGTGTGTTTCTGATTTGTTAAGTGTGGATGGATATGATTTTGCAATGGTGATGGGGCGATGGTGGTGCGGTAGTGTGGGTATTGGTGGAGTTGGTGTTTTTTTTATTGTTAGAGTAGTGTTGGTCGTTTGTGTTTTGGTGGTGTTGGGGATTTGGGTGGTTTTCGTGCTAGTGAAGCTGACAATGGTGGTGAGTGGGTGGAAAAGGGTGTCTGTGGCCAATTATGTTATGATCAGTAAATTGTTAATTTATAATCGGTAAATAATGTGGCCAAATTTGTGACCGTGACTAAATTTATAATATGTGACATAAAATTTGTGATTTTGACTTACAATTGATTAAGTTATTGTCGAAAAATTAATCATGACCAATTAATCTAAAATTTGCAATGGATATATGAG